AACATCCAAGAATTATGGGACACCATCAAAAGACCAAATTTAAGATTTTGGGGGATAGAGGAAGGTTCAGAGACTCAAACCAAAGGAATGCACAATCTCTTCAATGAAATAATATCAGAAAATTTCCCAAGCACGAAGAATGCATTGGAAAATCAATCTCAAAATACAAGAGGCGTATAGGACACCAAATGTACAAAATTACAACAGATCTACACCAAGACACATTCTAATGAAAATGCCTAGCATACAGAATAAGGACAGAATTTTAAAGACCTCAAGAGAGAACAATCAGATTACCTTAAGGGAAGACCAATTCAGATCTCAGCAGATTTTTCAACCCAGACTCTAAAAACCAGGAGATCCTGGAACAACATATACCAAAACTCTAAAAGATAATGGATGTCAACCAAGAACCTTATATCCACCAAAATTAAGCTTCAAATTTGACAATGAAATAAAAAACTTCCATGATAAACAAAAGCTCAAAGAATTTACAGCAAGAAAACCTACACTACAGAACATTCTTGGCAAAATATTTCATGAGGAAGAAATGAAAAACCATGAATGATAATCTGCAAAGAGAAGAACTACAATAAAGGAAAAGCCAACCAAAGGAGAAACCAAGTCAAGCTAAATACCAAAAATAAGCAAAATGACCAGTAATATAATTCATGTCTCTTTCAACCCTTTTTGATAAATTTTTACACATAAAAATTTTAACTACAATATCATCTAATTTTTCAGGTTTTTGTTTATTTTGTAATTTTAGTTTTCCATTTCTCTTCACAAAGTTACACAAATATTTTCTTTAAAAAGTTTAGCATTTTATGATATATTTTATTATATTATTAATCTGGTATGTGTATACATTGTGTGTGATATAAGATGAGGTATATTTTACTTTCTTATAATTAAAAAACTATTATTCAAGATTCAAGGATGAAAAAGATCAATCAGGGTAAAAATTGTTTAATAAGGTATTTATAAAGGTAAGGGCAAGTTGAAGGAAACCAACAAATTTTGTGAAGCACCTTTCCTTCTGTAGACTTAGAGAGGTAGGTGAAAGAAGAGAGAGCCATTATGAAAACCTTGTTGGAGAAGGTGAACTAAAGTAATTCCCACCAAAAGCATGAAGAAACCAACTCACAGTCTAATAAAATTCTTACAGGGAGGAATAAAGGAACCTCACTCTACTCTTGTATATTCTAAGTTCATCTCTTTGGTGTCCCTTTCTGACAGAATTCAACAAGAAATCACATAACGAGGGAACTTATCATGCAGCCTACAGCATGTCTTACTAAAAGGTGAAAGATGAAGAAGCCAATAAGGCAGCCATTGCCTTACATGAGGCTACTGAGTATTTGAAATGTGTCTAGTCTGAATTGAGACTATGCTATGCATTAAATAGACACTAGAATCCAAAGAATTACTAGGGCAAACAAAATGAACATAAAATATCTTACTAACAATTACTTAATAACAATTAGACATTAGAATCCAAAGAATTACTAGGACAAACAAAATGAACTTGAAATATCTTACAATTATTTTCTTTGCAAATTATGTTGGTAATCCATTGAGTTAAATGAAAATATATTAAAATTAATTTCTCTATTTGTTTAAAAAAAGAAGTAGTAAAGGAGAACAAGGTAACATGCTCTGTATCTTGACTTTAGTAGTATATATCCATATTTATGTAGCCATTTTTTATATTTATATTGTCAAAATTCATATAACTATAAAACTAAATATGGCAAATTGTACCATATATAAATTATATCTCAACAAACATGACTTTAGAAATCTAGTTCATAGGGTGTTTTAACAGTACTGGGCACATACTAACCACCTGATAAATAATGGCTATTATGATGATTCATTAAAACAACCAGCATCAGACTGACTCATAATGGGGTAAGAAGGGGGAACTGAGAGGAAGAGACAAACTCTAAATAAGGCAAAGGGGTGGGAGGGGAAGGGAAGGGCATGGGGTAAGAAATTATGGTGGAATGAGATGGACATCATTATCCAAAGTACATGTACGAAGACATGAATGGTTAAGAATATACCTTGTATACAACCAAAGATATGAAAAATTGTGCTGTATATGTATAATATGAATTATAATGCATTCCACTGTCATATATAACAAATCATAATTTTAAAAAAAGAAACTGTGGTATATATACACAATGGAATATTACTCCGCATTAAAAGATAATAAAATTTAAAAAAATAACAGAAAAAAATGCTTGAAATCAGCACGTACTTACATTCACAAATCTGATCAGATAAGAATGCAGATACACTTTGTAAGCAATATGTTACAGTTTAATATCACACAAAGAAAGTTGAAAATGAAATTATGATTTGATGTACGGTTTCATATACTTTACTCCTCTAATTTTAAAAAAAAAATCTATGTATGATTAAGATATAGGCACAGAAATCACACTGAATACTAATCTTAGCGAAAATGAAATAATCTCAACCTGACAGGTATCTAAGTCAAACCCCACTGTTTTAGGGACTCCTTTAACTAGTACAGAATTAAAACTTGTCAAAGAGAGAACATGGATGGACTTGGGAACCAAAAAAAAAAAATTTTTTTTTCACTTTTTTGTTTTGTTTTACTTTGTTTTTGTTTTGGGGGTTTTGTTTTCCTGGTGCTGGGAATTGAACCCATAGTCTCACACTGTGCTAGGTAAGTACTCTACCACTGAGCTACATTTCCAGTCCTAAAATAGAAAGTATTTATCAGCAATTCTTATTTTCTCTCAGAAATAAGATTGTTGGAGAACAAGAACTGGCCAGAAAGAGAAAATATCCAACACATTGACTTCACACTCTGGAAATACATATTTGCAAGTCTGTTTTTTTCTTTGATACAAAGGATTAGAAAAAGAAACATAGCTTGCAAAAGCAATGAGGTTGGAAACAAAAAATATCACAACTACCTTTTTAAAATGAGAACAAATCACTGGCTTTAACTGAGTTCTTCTATGTATTAAAGTCTTTCCAGTAAAAGTTGTCACCAAATTCTAACAACTTTACTGAAAGTTTCAGGCTTTTCAAAACTCTTCAGGCTTCATTAGCATATACCCATGATGCTGTGATTTTTTTCTAATTCTGACTCTAGTTACCCTTGCCTTTAAATTGTATTGCACAATGCAAAACTTACTTCTTTTCTCAAATAAATTTTTGCATCCCTACCCTACTCAAAACTCTCCAAAACAGGCTTATGTATGACCTCAACCTTTATTTATACTATCCTTTTGTTCTAGGGTCTCCTTTGTTTTCCAGGACATATCATTAACATTCATTTTCAGTCTGGCTTTTCTGCCCCTCTCCATATGATATAGTCTATCCATTCATACGAATTCTGTAAGGCAAACACTTATTGGGCATTTACTGTGCTCCCAACACAAACGTATCCTTGCAAGTCCCAACATTTTCTCAAGCTCTTTCTTTCAGTGGGCAAGGGAGACATCCCTAATGACTCTCCTCCACTTAATAGGCAGTTGGAGACAGAAATGCCCGTTTACTCCATCATTTTAAGTCACACTTATAGAGCTGTGAGATAAATCAAACAGACTGCGGCAAGGGTTCCATATTAGTTGAGTAATTACCATATGCCAAACACCATTCTGGGTGTGAAGGCAAAGATCCTGTTCTAAAAAAATGTGGTTTTTCTCTATGTATTTGAGTGTGTATGGTGGCTGAGAACAACAGTGAACACGTTAACAAAGAACCACTTCACACAGTGTGACAACTGCTTATAATACAGGTTTGACCACTAGCAAATCATGAGAGCTGTTAGAGAGATAACAGGAAGGACCACTTTGAGTTAATGGATCCATGTGAAAAAAGTTAAACAAAGCATTAAAAAACCAAAAGTTGCAGGACAATCAAGGTAATACATGCTTGTAATCCCAGCTACTTGGAACGCTTAGATGGGAGGATCATGAGTTCGAGGCCTGTCTGAGCAACACAGTGAGAATTTATCTCAAAAAAAAGAAAGAAAAGAAAGTCCTTACATTTTATTTGAGGTTCAAAGATTTTCACAATCACATTTAAATACACGTAAGTTTTATTAAACTATCCTAAAAAAAAAAAAAAAAAGCCCCAAAAGTAAAGCACAAAAAGCGTCCAAAAGCTAATGATGACTGCTGTCTTCACATAAAATATTTACTGATTGTCAGTTTCCTGATACCTAGTTGTGCTTTAAAAGTATAGTTCAAAGGACTGGAGTTGTAGCTCAGTGGTAGAGCACTTGCCTTGCAAGTGTGAGTTCAATCTTAGCACCACATAAAAACAAATAAAGGCGGGCTGGGGTTGTGGCTCAGCGGTAGAGCGCTTGCTCAATCCTCAGCACCACATAAAAATAAATAAATAAAATGAAGGTATTGTGCCCAACTACAACTAAAAAAAAATAAAATTAAAAAAATAAGGCATTGAGTCAATCTACAACTAAAAAAAAAAATTAAAAACAAAAAGTATATTCCAAAGTACTCTCCTCTCCCTCGTGAGTTCAGAGCTTTCCCAGCTCTTGATCACTCCATAAGGACCATCAACCTACAGATCAGAACCAGTTTTACGTTCTGGCCGAGAAAACTGCACAGAAAAAGAAAGACACTAACACACAAACTCAACTACAATCTGTTACACCAAGAGAAGTGCAACGAATTTGTTCTGGGGGTAAAATGCTTGGCTCAAATCAGGGGACACCGGGACTGGGCCCTAGGAAAGCCAGGTCGTGGGAAAAAGAAATCTATTTCAAACAAATTCAGACTAGTAATTGAATGACACTTGGAGTTCCTAGACTAAGGTCCTCATCTGTAAACCGGCGTAACAATAACTCCCGCCTCTCAAAACATGAGACGCTCTGAGGAGATGGCTGTTCAAGAACTTTAAGAGGCGCACGGACCCGGACGGTCTCAAGTTTCTTAAACTACTTCTCCCAGGAGGAGCGCAGGTAGGAGACTAGCCAACATTATTACCTTGACCAGCCACACGCCCGTGTTCTGCTTGGCGCCGGTTAAGTCGAGTTCCCCGCGCTCGGCCATAGGTCTGTCGCGGGTGGAAGCGAGCGGGCTGAAGCAGCGACCTGGGGAGCTGGAGCTGCGGGGCAAGTGTGGAAGCAAAGGGCGAAAAGCGGTAGAAAGTAGAAGGAGAGAAGCCGGGGTCCCTCTCTTACTAGGATACCAGGAACCCGGAGAAAGGAACACGCCGCTGGGAACCGGAAACCGCGCCTGCGCACTGCTACGTCAGTACGGCGCGCTGCTGTGAACAAACTTCATGCTCCCGCAATTTCTTAGGTGGGCGTGGCTGCTGGCGGTGTGCTTTTGGGTGATTTAAAAGTAGCGTAGAAAAAGCCAAAACGGCTGCAATGCATTTAAAGACAAGTTCTGCATAAATTAAGAAAAATAATGTCAAAACGGAAAAATGGGGTTCAAAGAGACAAAAATCCGAGCCAAAGAGAGCGAAAGTCTGAATGACAGGATGGTGGTAATGGATTGGCACTCCTGTCAAACTCATGAAGCACAAATCCACACTGGGTCGGACGGAGTAACCCTGGATATATTGAAAACCTGCACTTATAAACCTGAAAAGAAAGTGGTGTCTCAACTCAGCGGCTGCCCCCAAGCTCTTCTGATTGAGCAAGAAGAGCACATCTCTTTCAAACTCCAAAATCTGGATGCCATATAATTGGATCTGTAACAATACAACATGAAAGAGAGGAAACTGATTATTTAACTTCGTGCTTAAGCCTTTTCTTCTTTCTCCTCTTCCCTCTAAAATAAAAGTCAAACTTCTGTTTCAACTGAGCCCTCTCAGTTTGGTCCCTTTGTATTCACTGTGCTGCACATACAACCGCACCAAATCCATCCATCTCTCTGAACTCATCAGGATCTTTCTCAGTCACTTCAGATCTGGGCAGAGTGCTCTGCAGAGGTCTCCCTTTCCCTCCAATGAACTGTCTCATCCTTTCCCTCACTCTCATCCTTCTCCTTTGGTTGATAAACTTCTACTTTTGACTAATGAAAATGTTACTAATGCAAATGTTACTTCCTATGAGACCTTTTATCAACTCTCCCAAAAGAAGTTCAATAGCATATTGCACTGTAAACATATGCATGTCTACCTTTGTCTTCTAGACTATGAACTCCTCCTAGGCAGAAATACTGCTTTCCACCACCACCACCCAGCTTTATTGAGTCATAAGTGATGAATAAGAAATAGTGCTTTGTGTACAACCAGAGATATGAAAAATTGGGCTCTATATGTGTAATATGAGTTGTAATGAATTCTGCTGTCATATATAAAAAACTAAAATTTAAAAAATAGTGCTTTATTCATTTCATATGTGGAAGGGCTAGCACAGTGTTTAACTATTGTCAGATTTCAGTAGACTTTGGTTGAATGAACATTCACTGGAAAGAAACAAACAGTAAAGTATTGTAAAAATGGCAAGTAATTTATTCAATCACACATGAGAGCCATACACAAAATTTTAAAAATTCTATTTCTGTGCTGCATAGGGCCAAGAAAAGCTGTCAGATCTTTGAGATTGATGGCAAAAATAATAAGAAAAATGAGAGGGACCTGAAAAGGAAGATTGCATTCTTGTGTAACAGCTTGAAAAGGCCCTAAAATTTATAAAGAGCAAGCAGATGAAGGGAACTGCTTTAAATTTTTATCAAGTAAAAAATATAAATTAAAATGTAAGGCCATGAGAGAAGGGAAGTAAAGTAGCCTAGAATACCCTAGGATTGAACTTTAAAGTAAAAGATTGTGAACTTGACCTTTATCTATGGATCATGCAAGGCCTTAAAATGTGAGTATGTGGGGATGAGAGATTGGGAGAGAAAAACCCACTAAAGAAGAAGCTATTGAAGAAAGAAAAAAGTAAAGATTTGAAAATGATTATACAGAAAAAAAGGAAATAAATAACAATTTATTCAGCACCTCATCCTTGTATACTGTTGGACAAAGAACAATCTTCCCCTATCTATCTGTCCTTTCTTCTTCTCCTTCTGGTTTGAGAAGGGATGTTTACAAAGCTGTGAGAGAAAAGGAAGACATGACCTCTGTGAGCCAGATTGGCAAATTTATTCTGGAGATCCAGAAAATGATAGACATTACAGCCGGATCTTTCACCTAGCTAAGACCTATTTTATGCCAGACATTTGACTAGGTGTTCTATGCATATCACCTCATTTATTCCTTGTAAGAATTCACTAGGGTAGGTATTATTATTCCTCAATATAGCCCCATAATTATTAAAGTATCAACTTCCAAGAACCGAGATCATGTCCTAGTTTTCTGCACAGTGGAGTATGGTATCCAAAAGTCAGTATCTAAGAAAGGTACTTTCAAATTACTTACTCTCCCACATGGTTGACTACTCAAGTTCTTATCAAGTCTTTTAAAGCACAAATGCAATTCTAGGAGGCAGGGCCCAAAATTCACTGCTGGCTACAACTTTTCCAATAAGTCTAATAGTGCTTAGACCAAGCTGCAACTCCATCTTTAAGACTTCAAACCTTAAGGCAGCCCTCTCTGCATACTAGACCCTGTTTTGTGGGTCTCTAGACTAACTGCAACAGAAACAGATCCCAACCACTACCAAACATGCTCCATTTTTAAAAGAGTATTCTCTGTGTCTAGTACCTCCTGCCTGCATTAGCATTCTCTGAGGGATGTCCTAAAAATGTAGACCTGAGCCATTATCCAGGTAAACAAAATCAGAATTTCCAGAAATGGGTCTGAAAATTGTTATCTTAGCAAGGTTCCCAATTATTTCTTAGGTACATCAAAATCTGACAATCATTATTCTAATCCTGCATCAATAGAGTTTATTCTGATGGAGCCAGCATCAAAGTTCTGAAGCATGAAAAGAAAGCTTACTAGAAATTTGACTTACAGCTAGAATTTCCCCATGTCTTGTAAATTCAGAACTCTACAATTCTATGAGGTAGCCATTGGAGTAGAAGCAGCAACACTACTAGAAGATATGTTACAAGTGAGTTGTGGGAATTTGAATGACATGTTCACAGCACATGTAGACTAGAAGGAGAGTTTTAAATTTGTGTATTAAATAATCACATTAACTTTTTTGTGTGGTACTGGAGATTGAACCCAATGACACTCTACACTGAGCTACATTCTCAGCTCTTTTCATTTTTTATTTTGAGACTAAATTGCCCAGGCTTGTATTGAACTTGTGATCCTCTGGAGTTTCTGGGCCTACAGGCATGCACCACTGTGCCCATCTCAGATTTACATTTTTAAAAGATCCTTCTAGTTGGTTTGGAGAAAATGTATTGGGGGGAACTGGAATGGAAGCCAAGAAGCCAAGTGAGGTATTTATTGCACTAATCCAAGTGGGAGGGGACAATGGTTTGGATTAGGGAAACAGGATTAGAGATCAAGAGAAGCAGATGAATCCAGAGCATATCAGAGATAGATTTAGGAGGTAGAATTGATAAAACTTTGTGATTCTTAGCTGTAGCAAAATAGTACCAACTACCAAGTGATAACTCAGTGCAATAAAACAAAACATACACATACAACAACATGGCTCCTTCTGGGGGACCAGACAGGTCTCTGCATATATTTGCCTGATGGATGACATGATTCTGTTGAATTACTTTTGTAAATGCCTTGTGTCTGATCAAACATATGGCTGCTGTGTCCTGCAAGAAACCTTCACTCTCAGTAAGTCAGTTTAATTGCCCATTAGGGATTACTGTAGGCATAAGTGTTAAATAAAGCATGAGAAAATTTAATTTATCATTGCTGTAATGAAATCCAATTTGTTTTTGTGTATAGTTTATCAAAAACATTTAAATTATACTTTATATATTAAATAAAATTATAGTTAGAAAATAGCACTAATCAAAATGCCCAGATAAAATTCACAAATAACAGTAAGTCCTAAAATACCACATTAAACAGATGGATCCTCACTACTGTTCAGATTTCAAAGCCAGAAAAGCCACGCGGGCGGAATATCAATGAGGAATTATGTCCACTATTCTCCTAAGGGCAAAAAGCTCCCGTTTTGATGGATAAGACTTTCTACCTAAATACACAAACATCAGGGGCAGGAAAGTTTTCTCATCCAGAGTTAGGCGAAAATATTAGATAAATATCAGTGGGTGGTAGCCAGGAAAGTTCAATTTATAAAAGCAGAGCTCTTGCCTTATTTCTGTCGGCAAAATTTTCACTTTGCTCTGTGTAAACAACTCAGCTGACATGGCAGCTCTGCTGTACAACGTTGTTGAGGGTGTGGGGACTTTCCATCTTCTATTTCATCATCTCTTGTGTGTTGTCCTGTCTACACAGTAGGCCACAATGCCTGCATTTTCCAGCCAGAAGAAAAGAAGGGGAAAAGCAAAAAAGACTGTTCATCACCTTGGTCAAAGCTTTAAAAAAAAAATATATATATATATATATATATATATACACACACACACACACATATATATATACATACCCACACACATACCCACACACATATATATATGCACACACATACATATATGTACATACACTGTATATATCGATATATATTATAAATATATATGCATTTGTATATATACAAACACAATTATAGTCTGTTTAGATTGAGATCCAAACAAGGGCCATACAATTTGATTGATTTTTATGTCTCTTGGTTCTATTCCCTTCTCCACTACCTTCTCTCCTTCCCCCTCCTGTTCCTTACCTCCTCCTCTCTATCCTTTGCTCTTCCCCATTGTTGAAGAAACTAGATTATTCGTCCTGTACAGCTTTTTACCTTCTGGGTTTTTCTGATTGATTCCCTAAGGTCTCATGTTTGATGTTACTTTCTTCCTTCCTTGTATTTTCTAAACATATGAGTTAGATTTCCAGGCATGATCAAACTCAGGTCTGATTTCAGTGGGGAAAAAAACAATTTACTCATGTGTGGCCTTGTGCACTTCCAGCATGAGGCACATAACCTCCTTCGTTCTTTCTGTGATACAAGCAGTCATTAATAAGCATTGACCAGACCTAGTAATTCATTAGAGGTTGTAAAGTTGTTATTACTTCTCTGGAGAAATTTTCTCGTCATTGTTCCCATGAGATATAGCATAAAAACTTATGTGAAGGCATGCATGAGAGACTTTCATCATGTGAAGGCTGGGTAGTTGGTCAATGTGTACTTGGATTCAAAAATGCATCTGAAAAGACTGGGATTGTGGCTCAGTGGTAGAG